CCGCGGGGCCTGCGCCGTGGGAGCCGCTGCCTTCGGGAAGCGGTGGCGGGTGTGGTCCTGTCGCCCACCCCGGGGCTGCGGGACCAAACCAGCCACCCCTTCCCGAAGGCCGCGGCTCCCACGGCGCAGGCCCCGCGGAGCGGCCCCCCGCGCAACAGTGTCCGCAGAGCCGGGGCTGCGACCCAGCCAGCCGGCTCCCCGGAGACCACCCCTCTCCGCCCCACCGCGCCACCCGCTGCCACCACCTTCCCGGTTCTAGGCCCTTCGCCCGCCACCCCTTTGGAGGAGGGACGCAGTCCCGCCACCGAGCCACCACCCTCCGGACCCGCGCCCAGCACTCTTGAGAGCACAACTGGCCAGGTGCCGACCACCCCCATAGTCATCACCGCTCAGGCGCCTAGCACTGCCGGGACCCCGACTGCCGAGTCCTGGAACAGCAGCAGCCTCAGCAGCGTCCCGCCCACCGCACCTGCCACCGAAGCCCCTGCGCCTCCTCCCCCAGGTGAGTCTCGGCGCTTGCTTGCTCTCTGTCCTTTCCCCAGGCACTGCCCGTCTTCAGCCCAGCCCCTGTCACCCTGTTCTGGCCACTTCGTGTCCTATAGACTCCCAGGGAAGATCCAGGCTCCAGCTAAGACTCAACACCAATCCTCCAAATCTAGAAAGCCTTTTGTCCCCCCTCACCCGGTGCTGTGCTCCATCCAGAGGGAAAGACTGCTTAGTGCCTCTTCCTAAAACAGGGTTTTCTGGCCTTTGTCAGAGTCCCAGAATGGACACAAACTTTTGGGATCCCTTCAGAAGGCCATCCTGCCTGGGTTATTTGGGGGGAAAGTTTGAAAGCCAGAATGGTGCTCTGTCAACCCCCAGGTAAAAACCTGAAGGGATTCCTCCGAAGTTCCATTTTCCTTGTTTGTTTCTTTTTATTGGTGTAGTTAACAGATACTGGTGTGTGGAGGGAGGGAGCAGGGGTGGAAGTCATACAAAGTGAATTTTGCTTACAAACACGTCACTTTTGGGTCTGAAATCAAAAATAAAAATGACATTGTAATCCATATCTTCTCTGCAAGACAAGTAAATAGACTTGGTAGATCATTTGGGACAGGTGTGTATCTAGGTTGAACACGTTTATAAATTAGGTTAAATCCCTTCCTTGCACTACTTCATTTTGTCTCAATTCCAAGGTCAGTGCTTGGGCAAATGCCATTTAAGCAAGGATGTCCATTTTTGTCCTTTTAAATCTAGGATGCTCCTTACTGCTGATGTTGACATGCCAATTTCTGTTTGCGCTCACAGTAAGAAATACAGCTCTTCTGCTAGTGAAACTCTTCAGGCAAAGTTAAGAGGCCTATTCTTTCGCCCTTTGTATCTTAAGTGGGCCAGGAGCTCAACCAATAACTCCTACCTCTCTAAGACATTTGACAAGTTTCTGAGATCCTTTGCTTTGCGTTGGGGTGGAGATTTGCCTAAAGCTCTTGTCTAGCTTGATCTGATCATTGACCTAATTCTTTGGCTCAGTGGTTTACTGTGGAGTCAGGTATGGACTTTGGACTATAATTGAGCTGGTAGAGGATTTTCCCTGATGGTTAAGTCTTGAATTGTAGTTGGAGCTTGGCAAAGGCATAAGTAGGAATGCAGATTATTCACCCGCAAGAAGGCACATTTGGATCTCTTTCAGTTTCAAGGAACATATTAACTAGCCATTTTTTTAGACCTGAAATACTTTTTGACTTTTATAAAGAGATTGACATATTACTAAAGTTAGACTAGTAATTAAGTGTAGACTCTGAAGTCCATTTTTAGGTTCGAATTACAGCTTATTGTCCCCCTTTACCTGTGTAAGTATGAACAGGTCACTTAGTCCTTGTACTCTCACTTTCTTCAGCCTTGAGATGAAGTTTATCATAGTCCTTATAGGTTTGCTGTGCAAATTATGTAAGTTGTGCTGAGTGTGTACAGTGATATACTGAGGAAGCAGAGACAAGATCAGTTCAAAACCAGCCTTGACTACATGCCAAAACTCTATCAAGAAAGACAAAAATGGGAAAAAGTTAGGAGAGCAAATCAATACATAGAATTCAAATCAACTTGAAGTAAAACAAAGCTGGGGTGATGAATGTTTACCAACCTGAACTTGTTTCCATGTTCTAATATTCGTATGGTTGTCTCTCTGTAGCAAACACATTCAGGATATCAAACTGAGGTCATTCACCTTTGTTTAAATAGTCTGCAGTTTATACTCTTCTGTGAATTTATTCTGTTGTCTATATTTAGTTCTCAGAGACTCGACTGACTTTGTGGCCTTCTGGTAGGCAATTTTAGCCTTACAGTGATATAATTAAGTGGGACTTTTTAATTGTAGCATGAGCTCCATTCTACTTTAGATAGTGAGCATAGCTCTTCGGCAGAGGTAAACTTCTATTTGAATTTGAAAAAGCCGATTTGGCTTGCAAAGCTGGATATCCTGCCATTAGAGAAGACGGTTGTAGAATTTTATTTCAACATTTCTATGAGGACTGAGTACCATTTACTATATCATTTGGTTGAGCAGGTCTTATAGCTGCTATATGAATCAGTAAGAATTTCTCTCCTGGAAATTTAGCTGAAAGCTCTTATCTACCCTTCAGTTAGGGCCCAGTTGTTTACAGGGTCACTGGTCTGCAAACTGAAACTAATTACCCAGCAAGCAGGCCCTTTCCTCTCACAAACCTAGTACAACACTATATGGATTGGTTGGGTGAAGAGTGGAGAGAAATGCTGTGATCTTACTAGAGAGTAATAATCAGCAGTAAGGCCCTGAGGTAAGGACAAATGCTTGCTTGCTTGTTTTAAATGGACTTCTGAGGCAGGTAGGAGCTTAGAAGCCACTAAAGGCCAGCATGGGTTGACATTTTAAGAAATACTTCTATAGTTTTAGGTGAAACACCTCTGCCTGTACCTGACACTTGACTAGGCAGAGTCTGGTCTTTGGGAACATGCACAAGTCTGCTTTCCCTGTGCATTTCTTCAGATTTTGCAGATGTGATCATACTTTGAGTCTTAGCTAAATAACTTCAGCTTCTTCAATTGGTCTTTGACATGGTTTTGTATTTCTTCACTATCCTGATCACCTCTATTCTGAATCTTTTCAGTCTTTGTGTCACTCTCCTAAAACAAAACTGAACTGAACCTAATAATCTACTTGTACTCCAGTGTAGAGTGGTTACCATTGTTCAGTACTGATTATGTATTTAGTTCCCTAAGCACAGATTTTTTTTTTTTGGCAGCTAAAGTACGTTGTTGACTCATTGACTATATCAAGATATCAGACTATTTTAACTTATATATAATATATTTAAAAATATATGTTAGAAACATCTTTTTTATCTGAACTTAGAAATTATTGTAGTTTTCTAAAAATATAATCTAAAACATTTTCCAAGCTCTTAAGGTTGATTATGTTAAATTCAGATGATCTTTTTTACACCAGATTTGTCTGTCTGTTTACTCCACCTAGGTTGTTCATGACTTGCAGGGTGTTCCTACAGACCAAGTCTAAGCACAAGTCAGGGCAAGTTATAGTTACCTCACTGGAAAAAGAAATTCGTGGATGTTAAAACAGTTTGGAAGGAAAGGGATAATAGTTTAGATTAGTTCTTAAGGGTCTCTCTCTTCCAGCTCTTAAGTTTTGTGATGATTAGATGTATATGATTCAAGGTACCCCATAAACAATCTTAATTATGTATTTATGATCCAGACTACAAGAATAGATGTTGCTTAGCCAAGTCAGAGAATCCAGTTGAAATCTCTAACTGCTATGAGGTATGAATGCAACATTACAAATGGATTCTTTACTTGCTTGGTTTTGTTTAAGATAGGGTCTAGTTAGGCTAGGGTCAGATAGGCTGACCTCTAAGTTGTCACCCTCTTGTTGCTGTCTCCCTGGTTTTTGAATGTGCCACTATGCCTGGCTCTTTAGAATCGATTTGAAAGGAACATTCTAGAAACTCAGGATCCTCCTGGCTGAACCAGAAAATATTTTCTTTATCCCAACAGTCTCTACTACTAAAGCCCAGAGTTGTCTTATGTGTGGTTATTTGTGACTGTAACATTTATTTTATGAAAAAACAAACTCTATAGGCGCCAAAGATAAAGATTCAGAGTCTTTTATCCAAAACCTGTGTCTTGATATATTGGAGAATATTTCAGATTTTAGAAAGTTGACAAATACATCATGGTGAAGCTAGGGCAATATCTACTAACCAGACTAATGAAGACTTCCTTATCAACATGCACATTTAGTGGGATAAAGACTGTAAGTAACCTTGCATCTGACCAGGTCAGGCTTTGTTGACATGCACTTTCAGGGAAGGGATTGGAGGACAGACAGCATGGTTCTTTACCTGTCTTGGAATACATGCAAGCACTTCTCTCTGGCATTTAGATAAGGTTTCACTATGCTACCTAGATTGGCCTTGTATTCAAAGACTCAAGTCATCCTTCTGCCTTAGCCTAAGTAACTAGAATTACAGGAACTCACCAGTATGCCTGAATTCATAATAGTTTTTCTTCAGCAGATAGTGAATATTTAAGAGCTACTCTTGAGCCCTATCTCTGGTGTTGGCCATTTGGCAAAAGTAAGGTAATAGCTCAACCATGCCAAATGAGAACAGAAAAATTTTATGGTCAATAGTTCTCTGTGCCTGCCTAGGAAGGGGCTATATGAGCCGAGGCAGAATCTTCTGCCTTGGGAGAGGGACTATAGGACGCTGATATTAAGAATCGTTCAGAGTTGGGGGATTCTCTGTCAGCACTCTCCTCATCAAAGCTATAGTTTGGGAGCCCATCTTAAACATTGTCCCTTCCCTGGACTAGTTGGAGCTTGGTCCTAGAACTGGTCTGCCTTCCTACCCTCTATACCTCAAAAACTGGAGTAAGTTAGAGGGAAACAACATGTGGGCCCCGGACACTGAGAATTGCTCTGCACAGCCTTCTCCTTTGAAGCCAAAATGGGAGTCTAGTGAGTTCTATGTTTCTACTGCCTCAGGGCCAGACTGAAGTATGGGGGTGTATAAACCTTAGCACCCTGAAGAGATTAAGGGTGGCTGGTGCCTCTCCATGGTGTTGTTAAAAGGGAGTCTACTTGAGGCTAATGAAGCTTCAGCCTCTTTTGGTATTTGTTCTAAATCTTGGTATCTTTTGCTACTTAAAGTTACAGAAAAAAAATATATTTGATTTTTGGATCTTCCATTATTTAGCTTTAGGTTTGAAGGCTATGAACCATTGTAATAGTAATTGCAAACATGCTCTGCTCCTGGCACAAAATATCTTACATGTGTTAAGTTATTTAATCCTTTGAACAGTGAGATACTGAGTTATATATTATGATCCTTATTTTTTTCTGATGCTAGGGATTAAATCCAGGTATTTGCACATGAGAAGCATATAGTCTATCTATGGGCTATAAACTCAACCCCTGTTTTATAAATAAATAAAGCAGGCCCAGAAGCAGTGCTCTTTGGTATTTAT